AAATGCTTGGCCAATAGCTTAGGCTTATTATTAACTATCTCTTACAACTTAAACCCAAACTTTTTATCTATGTATTACCACGTAGCTCAGTACCTTTTCTCAGCGCCATAAGGTCATCTTCTTCTCCCCAGGCCTCCTGCAACTCCTCCCTTCTACATCCCCATGCTTTTTCCCTGTTCACAAGTCCTGTCTAACCTCTTCCTGTCTAGCTGTTGGCCATTTAGCTCTTTATTAAGCCAATAAGAGCAATACATCTTTACAGCGTACAAGAAGACTATTCCATAACACTCAAGAATAAGGATGTTTATTATCTTACACAACAAGAGAGAGAGAGCTAGAAGTAGGACAACACCAGGACTGGTTGGTTTACTGACTCAACAACAGCATTGCAGATTCCAGTCCATGTTGTCTCTTCACTTGGTCATCATCAGTGTGACTTTGTCCTTCCACTGGAACCTCTGATGATTATAAAGTGGCCATTCCAATTTCAAGCCACACAGCCTCATGGAACGACTTTCATCACGAGTGATGTCATGTTTCTCTGTGCATCTCTGTTTAAGGACATGAAGTTCCTTGACACAGGAGAGGAGACAGGAGCAATGTTAAGAGTCAGAGCCGGGGGAAGGGTGCTGTGAAGTGCTGTCTTCTGGACATGGCTGTTGCTCTCATGAACCCACTGCATTATTTCCTGTGAGGTCAAGCCAACAAAATCAGTGGATATTTCAGCACGCAGCACTAATTGGATCCAATGGGGAGTATTTAGGAGGAGAAGAAAGAGGGAGTCAGAAATTGATAAACTCATATGAAATTATCAAATAATAATGTAAAGGACAAAAAAAGAGGTTTCTTCGGAATACCTTTGCCTCAGGTGTCACTAGTCAGAATCAGTGATGTGTCCACTCCTAATGCCATATAGTCTTGGGAGAGGGTCCTGTTTCCCCAGTCATAATAGGGTTAGGCGCATACCACTGAGATGGTATTAAGGCATGGTGTGGGAGAATTGTCTGTATCTGTCAATCATATTTTAATAAAACACTGATTGGCCAGGCAGGCAGTATAGGCGGGAAAGCCAGACAGGAAGTAGGGGTGGAGCAATGAGAGCAGGAGAATTCTGGGAAGCAGGGAGGTTCCTCAGCCATTCCTGCGCAGACCACCGAAGAGGCAACATGTAAGCTGTCACACTGAGAAAGGTACTGAGCCCATGTGGCTAACATAGATAAGAATAATGGGGTAATATATGTTATAAGAGTTAACAAGAAGCCTGACCTAATGGGCCAATCAGTTTATAACCTTATGGAGTCCTGTGTGTGATTTTTCCTTGGGATTTGCTGGCTTGTTGGGGTACTGGGCTGGACAGAAACCCCAACAAGCCAGCCCCTCATGTTACAAAGGCACCCTTCCCTGATGGGTGGATTCTACTGTAAAGAACATCAGAGAGCCAGATGGGGGAGGCACAACTTTAATCCCAGCACTTAGGGGGCAGAGGCAGGTGGATCTCTGTTCCAGGACAGAGGGGGCTTCACAGAGAAATACTGTCAAGAAGAAAAAAAAGGAGGAGGGGGAATGAGAAGGAAAGGAAGAAAATAGGAAAATAGAGTGGATGTGATGGATGTGGACCAGGCAACCAACAATACTGCCACCTGCTTCCACTGGGGTGTGCTGCATGTTCCTTGTAGCTACCACATTTTTATTTTCTGCTATCTGACATTTTCCGCCGTGTGTCAGCTTCTCTGTTTGCTTGAAGAGGCTGCACCAGACAAGCTGCCATCTAGCAGTTCTGCTTAAATTCTCCCTCTTCACAGTGCAAACAGCAGTTGAGGTGCTGGACCTGAGCTTGACCCTCAGCACCCATGTAAAATGACAGCTGTGGCAGTGAGTAACTGCAAGCCCAGGGGTGACAGCAGAAACGGGCTCACTGGCCAGCCCCAACCCCCAAAGAGAGAACCGGTTTCAAAATCAAAAACAAGAAATAAGATAAATGGCATCTAAAGAATGACGCCCAAGGTGGACCTCTGGCCTCCGCATACACATTCAGATATGTGCAAGAGTACCTGCACACGCGCATGCACACACACACACACACACACACACACACACACACACACACACAGCAAGTTAAAGTTAAAAGACAAAGTTAACGTGGTGGTGCAGGCCTGTAATACCAATACCAGAATGTGGAAGAACAAGATAAGATCAGGAGTTCAAGGTCACCTTCAGCTAGATGCCAAGTCTGAGGTCATCCTGAGCTATACAAAACTTTATCTCAAAAAGGAAATAATTTTTAACTATGGTTTAGAAATGCTGGCAGGTTCAAATTAAGTCATAGGTATGGCTGTTGTCCTTTCTTCTTAAAAATAGATAGAACAAGGACATTACATTTGAAGAACTATACAGACTGGAACTGGTACTATCCTGCCATTAATTTATTTTTATTTTGTTTGCTTGCTTGCTTGGTTTTTTGTTGTTGCCTCTCCCATATAAAAGACTGGCCCTGAATACCTGACCCTCCTTCTCCACCTCTCAAATGTTCAAACTAAAGGTATGCACCGTCACATCCACTATTTGTTTTTGTGTGTTTGTTCTGTGATTGATTTTATTTGTTTTGTTTTGTTTTTGTTTTTGAAACGGGGTCTTACTATGTAGCCCTGGATTTCTGGGAACTCACTATGTAGACTAGGCTGGCCTTGAACTCACAGATATCCTCCTGCTTCTGCCTCCCAAGAACTGGAATTGAAGTTGTGTACCATTACATCAGGCTGGTATTTTGCTTTTTGAAATAGCATCTCACCCAGGCTGTCTTGTAGTTTACTGTGTAGCCCAGGTCAGCTTAATTTCTCAGCAATCCTCCTACATCAGCTACCAAGTGCTAGAATTACAGAAGTGCACTTCCAGGCATAGCTTCTTTTCAGTGTTTGCTTGTTTGTTCTGAGACAGGGTCTCTGTAGCCAAGATGACCTTAAACTTACTATGTAACTGAGGATGACCTTGAACTTGTGATCCTCCTGCTTCTATCTCCCAAACATTGGGATTATAAGTTTCAGATGTGCATCACCACGACTATTTTATTGACTGCTAATCTTAAAAATAGGAAAGTTAAGCAAGTACTCTGCCTTCCTCATGTGTATATCCACTGACATCTACTTGCTTCTAACCCTCCTGGGACAGGCAGAGATTGACTAGATGTTCTTTTTTCCCTCAGACATCTTTAGTGTGATTGCAACATCTTCCCAGAGCTCACACATGGCTCTCTATCTCGGCTTGGGCTGCCAACTATGACTACAGTGTAAGAAATCACGTCTGTGTCTGCTTCATTTCACAGCCTGCTTCTGAAGTAATGATCCATTCGCTGTATCGTGTGCATCCTTTTCTTTATGGAGGGACACGAGACAGCCACAGAGGAAGACGATCTCCAACCAGGTACCTTTGCTCCTCAGACCTCCAATCTGAGCAAAGGTGCTTCATTGCCTTTAGTCTATGCCTACATCACCTTTCTCTAGTAAAACTGTTGATTTGATCTGTACACAGTCCCATTTTTATTTAGCAGAAGACAATGGTTTGTAATGAATGTACAGCACAGATAGGTCAAACATCCTGTCTGCTATACATTTGGCATAATACATGCAAAAGAAAATTTAAGAACATTATTTAAGCTCATTTGGTCACACCTTCCATTTCATTTTATTCTTTTCAGCTCAGTCTTTTCATTCTGACAAGGGGTGCAGGGTTAGAACTGAGCGTGGGAACACTAATGTCTCTCAACAGCCATGCATACCTAGTTCCCAGGACCTTAAAAGACCAGCTCTATTATCTGACTTGGTCCCATTGGCCTGTTTGTTTGTTTGTTTTTAATGTGTATATTACAAGTGTGAAGATGTCCTAGGAGACCAGGAAATGGCACAGGATACCCTAAAATTGGAGTCACAGGCTGTGGTCGTCTGTCTCTTGTAGGTGTTGGGAACTGAACTTGTATCCTCTGGAAGAGTAGCAATTCTGTTAAGGACTGAGCCATATCTCCAGTCACCCCTGTTTTGAAATGCACAAATGGAAATGCTGCTGTGGTCATGGGGAGATGGGGAGAAGACGTCCTTAATGACCGGCTAAGCTGGACAAGTCTGAGTCAGTTTACACTCTCTCGGCCGTGAAAGGCTCTGAGTGGATAAAAACTTCCTCTGGCCATTTCACAGGGCTGTTACAAAGCTAAAGCAAACACGGGAATCGGGAAGTGTGTTTCCACACCAACGTGAGGTTGCTGTTATTATTTTCAACTACAGACTTTCCTCTGCAGCATGTTTCTTTAACCACATGACTAGTTTTTAGCCACGTGACCTCACTCCAGACAGCATTCATTGGCGTTCACTCTCATCCGTCCTTTGTCTGCTGTGGACTCCATCAGCCCTGCTGCATTCATCTTTTTAGTTCATGTTCCTACACCATGTTTCTAAACACAAATTCCACCACACAGTGAAATACTGCATGGAGCAACTTGAAAAAACAAACAAACAAACCTCAACATGGCTGTAAAGGTCAAGCAAGTATCCTGGCAAAGGTCATGCTCAAAGTACCCAACAAGACGTCAAAAAGAGAGAAACCAAATCTAATTAGAAAATGCCTCTATTGTGTGTGTAGTGGTATATCCCAAGCCTCAGGAAACAAAATCAGGAGGATTATGAGTTCAAGACCAGCTTAGGCTTCATAATAAGACCCTGTCCTCCCTGAAAAATAAATCTTTGGAAGGAACTTATATACTATGTACTTCATAATCAGGGATTCATCCCATCCCTTTCATGCTTTGGAAACAAGAAAATACTCTGTGATTGCTAAGAACCAGGCAGAGGGAAAAGGACATTCCAGCACATATTCAGGGGAGAAAGTGTGACAACTGTGAGATCCACAGTCATAAACTCGGGGAGTTTTTAATCTCTACCCAGTGAGCCACAGGCCAATGAGACGCAGCTATTTCTTGCATTGCACTTTTTGTATGACTTTCCGTCCAAAAGCCCTCTCTTGCAACCACGATAAAAGAATCCTCATTGTGTATGCACTTAGCACGGACAGACACGTAAGTAGTCATTGACTCCAACATCGTATCTTTAAGCAGCAAACATTTTACAGATGAGAACCCTAAGTATCGAGTCCTGTGCCCAGGGTCGTATCTTGTGAAGCCAGCATGTAAGTGTAAGTTCTCCAACACTCTCAAACCAAAACTTTTATCAAGCTCCCTAAACCTCAACTAGCTTCTCCCTCCTCTTCCCTAAGCAATTAGCCCATTTAGTCCTTTCCACACCCACGCCCAGCCAGAAAATCCTAGGTCAGGCCTGGCCTGTTCCTGAGTCTGGCCTGAAGGCTGCACAGAAAGATGCTCACTCGTCCACAGTCTTGCCAAGCCTCTGCCACCCACCGCGTCAGTGTTCCTGAGCATCTCCACCAGAGCCTACCCAGTTTCCCCAAACCCAGGCTCCACCTGCCCCGTTGAGTGCGCATATTGCTCCAGACTCTAGGGGAGGACCCTGCGAGGCCAACGCGTTGTTGAGAGACCCAGCAGGGGTCCTGCCTCCGCGTGGCCACCGCGCACCGCAGAAACTACGCTTCCCAGGCTGCCCCGGTGCAGCCGCGCACCCCGCGCCGCGCCCGGCCCTCGAGCCGCCTGTTGATCGCAGTTCTAGCCCGGGGCCACGGCGCCGCCCCTGCTGATCGGACCCTCGAGCTCGGGGCTCTAAGGCTGCTGGTCAGCACCTTCCGCTTCGGGATGGGCGCAAGCAAGGGTGAGAAACTGGGGCGTGAGGGGCAGCCTGTCTGCAGCGCCCGAGTGCAGCTCAGCGGCCGCCGCACCCTGCGTGTCCGAGGGAGGATGCTCCATGGCGTGGCACGCAGCCAAGCGCAGCCCGCAGCAGCTTGCACCCGGGTGGCGGGTGCGTGGGGAGGCGGGGATGGCGCAGGGTGGCCCGGGACGCGTCTAGGTACCGACTGCACCGTGCCCCGCAGTCCCGCAGCCCTGCAGCCCCCTCAACACCGCTCTCCACGCGCAGATGCAGAGAGGGCGCGGTCTCCGGTCGCCCGGGGCTGCGGTGCTGGGGTTTTCCACGTTGGGCTTTGTTTCCCATTTTCTTCTCTCCGGTGAACGTGTGATAAGCTCTTGGAGTCTGGAGCATCTCGCGGCCTCATTTGAGCAGGAGCCTGGGAAGGGAGGACTCGGGTTAGCTTCTTTCCTGAGGTTCCCGGAGCTGTCACAGGACGCTTCAGCCTTCAGAAAGCCTCCCTTTGCAGGTCCCAGAGAATCTTTTTCTTATTCTTCCTGGTCAAAATCATGCTGATTCGTGCCTTCCCAGGACTTCCTTGCCTTAACCTGTTGACCGCAAAAAATGAAGGTCGGTTTCAAATAATAATAATAAAAGGTTTTGGGAATTTTTACTTTAAAATGTCAGAAGGTGGGAGGGGGGAGTGATGCGGCTAAAATGCAAATTACAGTGAAGAGGCCGGGAACGCCACCGCTTCTTCGGCTCCTTTTAAATATCTGATTCATCATGCGCTTTGGAAAGGAGAAAAAAAGAACATCAGAGGAGGTATTACAAAAGCATGGTTTCTGTAGCAGCTCCACCACTGAGGAACTGAGGGATCCTGGGCCAGGATCTTCGCCTCTGAGCTGCGTTCTCCGTGTAAAATGGGGTATTTGGTGAAATGGTTTCTGCACCGCTTTTCTTCTTAGGTGTTTGTCTCAAGGGACCGAAATGACAAGAGTATTTACACATTTACAGAGAGCTTGATGGGGACAGCGCAAACAGTTTTCATCAAGGAAGCTGGAAGGTTTCCAGGGCTTCTTAGTTAATCGAGGTGGTTTTTGTTTTTGTTTGTTTGTTGTTACCTGATTCGCTCTATTCTTGTCATTCTAGCTCAATAAATATCACAGGGGTTTTGGTTTTTATGTTAAGATAAATTGGGAAGCCACAGTGTGGTGGTTTTGTTTGCTGAAGGCAGTCGGATCAGCTGATAGAGGTCGGTAGCTCCCTAGGGCTGGGCCTGAGACAGCAAATGTGCTCTGCAAGAAGGTGGGGGCGGAGACTCCAGAAAGAATATAGGGTGAGGAAAGAGAGAGTGGTACTGGTGGGTTATTGTGTGAAAAGTGAATGCACAATAGGAGGGCTGAGAGAGGCACTGTGCAAACACGGACCCAACTCTCAACTGGTACAAAACCTTTGCGGGAAAGAAGGGTCAGAGCAAGGGTTTCATATTCTTTCAGAGTGTCTTACTCAGGGAGAGCTGAGTAAGCATTTACAATGCTGGAATTAGAAAGTTTCCATCATCCCCGCGAAGGTTCAGGCAGTACCTCTGGTGAGTCTCCTGCACAGTTTCACCCATGGAGTATTCCAGACAGGATGATGCAAGGGTATAGCTATCACAGATGGCAATACCAGTCACGGTGGATTGGTGTATGTGGACTTTGACTCCTAGATGAGGAAACGGTCGTTGTCAAAGATCATTTGGGGGTCAGGACATGGCGGTGCCTTCCTTAATGCCAGCAGATGGATATCTGTGACCTGGAGACCAGCCTGGTCTACATAGGAGTTTCAGGCCTGCTTGGGCAACATACAGTGAGACCGTGTCTCAATCTTACATCCAAAATAAAGAAATAAGTACAGATATTTTGTAGATGTTCAAGATACCTGAATATAGACTGTGTATTAGACAACATGGAATTACCATTCTTAATTGCAGTAATAGTTTTGTAGTATATAGGAGATTGTTCTGATTTTTTTAAAATTTAAATCTTTTTAAAAATACCTTTACTTACTACTTGACACAATGTACTTGATCCTTCCTATCTATCCTTAACCCCCAATACATCCCCTTCCCACCCTCATGCTTTTGGTAGTGGTTGTGGTGATGGCAGTAATGGTTGGTCACCTACTAAATCCAAAGTTGAATGGTCTTGTTGGCTCAATCTGGAGCTTCTGCGTTAGCGATTACAGCGCTGTGAGTTCATGATCCCAACAGCTGGGCCGTGTCTAGAAGACAGCGTTTCCCTGCCCTCCTCCCCATCCGCTGGCTCTCACATTCTTTCTGCCCCCTCCTAAGTGATGCTCCCTGAGCTTTGGGGTGGTTGATAAAGATGTCCCATTTAGGGGTGAGCGCTTGGTAGCCACTTCTTCTCAATACTTTGGTCATTTAAGAGTCTCTGCATTAACTGCTGCCCACTGCTGCGGAATCTTCTCTGGCCGGAGTTGAGAGCAGCACTAATATATGGCCATAGACGTATTTAGAAGACAGCGTGACGGCATATCCATTTAGCAAAGCATCAATAGTAAATTCCCCCCAGATAGGGCCTCTAAACTCCCAAGCCATGGCCTTTTGACCAGGCGTGCATTCCCTCTCCTGTGGAGCAGGCCTCCAATTCAGTCAGAAACTGTTGGTTGCCCCATCACCTTCCTACCACCGTTGGGCCAGTAAGCACATCTTGCCTGGCTGGTCAGTATTCAGGGTTTACTGTTTGAATATCCATTGATGACTCTTCTCCCCCAGCAGCATCCAAAGCGCCTTCTGATGGATGCTATGAAAGTTTGGGAGTTTGGAGGTGGAGCACTGTTACATCTGTCCACAGTACGCACCGCAGGATGAGAGGAGGGCCTTCTGTGGCGGCAGAGCACATTCAGGAGCCTCGCCACAAGACAGTGGTGAGAGCTAGGGAGGCAAGAAGAGCAGGGTGCAGGTGGATTGTGAGCCCCTCTTTTGTAGGATTGAACTCTTTAAATAAGAAATTGGAGGGGAATATAAAAAAAAATAAGCAAGCACACAGAAAGGACTGTAGAGGGCTGCATGGTTGTTGGCCGCTGTGGGGAGTCGGAGAGAAAGCTCTTAACTTCACATTCCCAAGCAAGACACAGATCTTCCCAGAGATGTTGATGGAGTCAGGTAAGAGTCACTTCTTTTGAATCTTCTTAACTACTGTTGTCCATTTATGTTTAACATAAGAATCCCTTCGCTGTAACATAAAGTGTCATCATATCCTTGGTACCCATGGGAAATTTGTCATTGAAAACCATTCCCCCATCAGAAGATTTCAAGTCCTTTTTATAAAATATCATAGCATTCTCATGTAATCAAATGTATTCTCCCCAGGTATTTAAAGCCTCTTTAAATTACATATACCTAACACAGTGTAACTGTATAACTTTCCCTGATGTTTTTATGGCATGACCCGAAGAAGATATACACAGTAGAGATTGCTCTAGGCATAAACTCAGAGTCTTCCTCAGAAAGCAGTCTACCACTGGCCCCTATATTCAGCCCCAATATTTTTTTAGATAATTTGACATGCAATTGATTAAAGTAACAGATGTGGAACTCACCGCTATTAGTGGGGCCAACTGTGCTAATAATTCCCAACCCTCAATAAATTCTTACCCTAACTAGGAACTACCCTGAAAGACCTCTCCACCCTGGTCATATTAGGGATTAAAGATGCGGTCCACACATGCTAGGTAAGCACTCTACCACTGAGCCTAGTTTGTTTGTTTGTTTGTGCTTGTTTTCCATTTGTGGTGGTGGTGATGTTTTTTGTTTGTTTGAGACGGGGTTTGTCTGTGTAGCCCTGACTGACCTGGAACTCACTCTATAGCCCAGGCTGATCTCAAACTCAGAGATCCGCCTGCCTCTGCCTCCCAGTGCTGGGATTAAAGGCGTGTGCCACTGCACCCAGCCTCAGTCTTCCTTAACTCATGCTTTTTTTTTTTAACTCAGCCTTTAACTCATGCTCCTTCTACCTCAGCTTCCCGAGTAGCTGGGTGACTGGAATGCTCTATCGAGGTCAACTGTCTTTCCTCTCCACATTGGAGATCTGTGACAGTATGTAAGGCAATTTGAGAAAGTAGATTCTAGCTAGGATTGAATGGTAGTTCATTTTCCCTTCCGCATCTGAGGTTTATGACAGTGTATTAGTAAGTTTGAGAACACAGCAGTATCGAATGATGGGTCTTTCTGCTTTGGGTTGAGAAAATGCTGAGGAAGTAACTGATGTAGCTTCTGACAGAACGTAAATAATGGAATTCCCCCTTAGTCCCTTTGTGTGTCAATCACATGAAACCTTGTGTCAAAGGCTATATGGATTTATAGTCTATACCCGGTTCAGACAAGACATGTGCAGAAGACTTTCTACTACAGACTACATAACACAGAATCAACTCCTTTTTTGTTTTTGTTTTTTGAGACAGGGCTTCTCTGTGTATCTTTGGTGCCTGTTCTGGAACTAGCTTTTGTAGACCAGGCTGGCCTCAACCTCACAGAGATTCACCTGCCTCTGCCTCCCAAGTGCTGGGATTAAGGGCATGTGTCACAACCAACCGACTTCAGAATCAACTCTTAAACCACCAGGTATGATGGCACATGCTCCTAATCCTAGCACTAAGGAGGCAGAAATAGGAGGCTCATCAGAAGTTCCAGGCTAGTGGATGCCTTTAATCCCAGCACTCGGGAGGCAGAGGCGGGGTTGAGGCCAGTCTGGTTTACAGAGCTAGTTCCAGGATAGGCACCAAAGCTACACAGAGAAACCCTGTCTCGAAAAAACAAAAACAAAAACAAAAACAAAAAAAAAGTTCTAGGCTAGCCTCGTTTACATTGTGAGTTCTAGACCAGTGAAGGCTTCAGGGTTGAGACCCTGTCTAAACTTAAATAAATAAATAGATCAATCGATCGATAGATAGATAATGCATTTAATATCTGATATAGACACCCTTTGTTCCAGATTAATTTTTCTATAGCTAGATCTCGTGTG